TGTGCAGCCCAAGCCATCTTAACCAAAAGCAAAAGGAAGGAAAGAAAGAAGGAAGGAAGGAAGGAAAAAAGGAAATAAAAAAAGGAAGGAAGGAAGGAAGGAAGGAAGGAAGGAAGGAAGGAAGGAAGGAAGGAAGGAAGGAAGGAAGGAAAGAAGGAAGGAAATTTGTCCTTTCCATCCCTTCTATGCCGATTAAATTCCACATCCTCCAAGGAGGCCTCCCAGTTTCTGACCACTATCTCTCCCTCCTCTTGCCCCCATTGCATCACCTGTCCTTTGTGACAGCTCTCAGCACTGCCAGGCTTGTATGTCCATGGCCTCAGCCATGTCCCCTCCTGGGTCCACAAACTCACACTGGGTAATGTAACCATCCCTGAACCAATCACTGTGCCAATGCAATGGGACGTGCTGATTGGCTGACATCAGACAGGGTTCATCCCTGTAAATGGCTGAAGAAAGGGACAGTGCCCTCAAAGCAAAGTCTTGACACTGACATGCAAGGAAAGGAGTGAATACTGAGCAGAAGACTGACAACCTTCTACTGTAGTCCTCATGAGAAATCCATATACAAAAGTGGGAAGTTGAGAAAAGTCTCCTAAATCCCAACTGGAAGGAGAGCCTCAGGTAACTTTTTGCTGTGTTCTCTCCCAGCCTTTTTCCTGTGCATATTTCATCATGTATGTTACATATGTGGACATCTGTGTGTATCAAGCAGAATGGCCCTCCAAAGATGTCTCCTCCCAACGTCCAGAATCTGTGAGTATGAGGGATGATCGCTCCTGTGATTGGGTTGGATTGCACGGCGGAGTTGATATTAAAATACAGAGACTGTCTAGCTGGGTCTAATATCATCACATGAGCCCTGAAAAACAGAGAGACATTCAACATCAGAGCTTAAAATCTAACTGTATGTATTAATATTAATAATAGCCCCTCAAAAAGCTACAACTTGCATTTTTTAAAAAGTATTTTCTCCACAAAGAATCTTATCAGCTATGCAAAAAATCTGTACAGGTTTTATACTGAGCTAATACTGAACTCACTTGAATTCACATTCTTAGCAAAACAATAGCCTGAGCATATACACTCCATATGCATCATTACAGGATAGTCATTTATTCTTCATCTTCCTCCTCATCATCTTCATCTTCCTCTTCCTCATCATCTTCTGGTTCACTCTTCTTCTTTGAGCCCGTTGGCCTGCCAGGGCCCTTCTTTCCTGCTTCCCTTTTGCCCTTGACACGGTATGCAGCAATATCCTTTTCCTATTTCTCCTTTAGCTTAGCTGCTTTCTGCTCATATGATTGTTTATCTTTGGCTGACTGTTCAGACCACATTTCACCAACTTTTTTGCAGTATTCCCAATGGATAGGCCTGGGTCTTAACTTTGGATCCTTAGGTGGTGTTCAGAGCAAAGCAGGAAGAAGGCAGATGGTGGTCTTTTAGGAGCATTGGGATCTTTTTTCTTACTTCTTATCACCTTTGGGAGGAACATAAAATTTTTATCTCCCTGTTACAGTGAGCTTTGTCACTTTTTGTCATATCTTTAAACTTCCACTTTTCCTTTGCAGACATGGTCTTCCATCTCTCTGATTATTTCTTGGTGAATTTGGCAAAATTGACGGAAGAGTCTGGGTGTTTCTTCTTGTGCTCTTCCAGGCAGGTCAGTACGAAGAAGGCATATGAGGACATTTGCCCCTCGGCTTGTTGGGGTCTCCTTTACCCATGGTGGCAGAACGGCGTCTACTTGGCGTGAGCTTTTCCTCAGAGTCCCACAGAGTGGCTAGATCTGACAGCAACTGTCCCTTCCCAGAGCTCTGGCATGAACTCACTTTTTAAAATTTTGAGACAGAGTCTCTCTCTGTTGCCCTGACTAGAGTGCAGTGGCATCATCACGGCCCACTGAAACCTCCGACTCCTGGGCTCAAGTGATCCTCCCGCCTCAGCCTCCCAGAATGCTAGCATTACAGGCAACGCACCTGGCCATCTGGAACATCTTTCTAAGTTAGAACATATAGCTTTAACTCCTTCTTATGACTACATAATGTTTCATTTTCTGAGCTATACCGTAAATTACTTAGCTATTTCCTGATTGATGGATTATTTTCAAGTGTTCAGTATGAGGAACAATGCCTCAAAGAAAACGCTTGTGTACGTTTTCTTTGTATGTGTATTTGTATGTGTATTTCTTTGTATGTGTATGTGTATGTTTGTGGACTTCTGTCAGTACTTTTAGGTAGGCTCAATCCAATTGGCGAAAGGGTCAGCATGTATAAATTTTACTGCACACTGCCAATAACGCTCCCAAGTGTTGGCCTACTTTGCCTCCTGTGAGCAGTGTGGGAGAGAGAGCCTTTCTTCTCCCTGAAATTGTGAATATTTCTTTTTTCAATTGTGGTAAGATACACATAACATAAAATTTATCATCCTAAACATTTCCAAGTGGACATTCAGTGGCGTTAGGTACACTCACACTGATGTGTAACCATCGCCACCACCCATTTCCAGAATGCTCTTCCTCTTCCCAGACTGAAACTCTGTACCCATTAAACACCAACTCCCCGTTCTCCCCAGCTCCTGACAACCACCACTCTACTTTCTATCTACTTTCTCTATTTTTGACTATTATAGGTGCCTCATATAAGTGGACTCATACAGTATTTGTCTTTTTGTGACTGGCTTGTTTCACTTAGTGTGATGTCCTCGAGGGTCATCCCTGTTGTGTCAGAATTTCCTTCCTTTTGAAGGCTGTATGTAGATATCACTTTTTGTTTATGGAATTGTGAATCTTTTAAATGTCCCTAAAGTTGCACCTGTCAGTTGTTCCTGCCTACACCTGTAGCTGCACCTGGAGCTTGTAGCTGGAGGGGATTTCTGCCCATTGTTTGTTTCTGTTCCCTTCTGCATTTCTGGCTCAGCCTCTGATTGCTCAGGCTTAAGGAGACAGGAGCCCAGACAGGCCTCTTGTATGGTCTGGGTCTCATTTCTGCAGGAAGCCGAGCTTTAGGCCCCTCGCCTTGGTCTCCCCCTGCAGGAAGAGGCTTCAAGTGGTGTCCCCAGGAAAAAAACGATGGTGGCTGTGCCTGGAGCAGGGACATAGTGTGGAGGGGAGATGGGGAGCCTGAGGAAGGAGGAGGAAAGGCCAGTGGGCGCCTGGGTAGTTGAGCTGCCTCAGGACAAGGGAGTGAGGGCTTCACCTAGGGACCAGACGCTGATTCTCACCGGGAGGGCGCCAGCTGCCATTTGTGCTGGGACAAGTGGTTTTCCTGAGGAGATGGGGTCAAGTCATTGAATCCGAGGGCCCTGGCTCTGTGCCCAGCAATGTTTTGGGCACAGGGTACAGAGACGCAACGGGCAGCAGCCCTGCTGTCAACAAGCTGGCTGTCTGGCTAAGAAAACACAACAAATGCACATTTTCAGCCACCAGGAGGCTCCATCTCCAGGAAATTATGACCACTAAATCCCAAAGTGTAGTGGCTTAGGACCACAAAGGTTCATCCCATGCCCAAGCTCAGGCCATTGTGGGTGGCCAGGGGATCTGCCCAGCACTGTCATCCTAGGTAGCTGACATATAGCTACCATCTTCCACATTGCCAGCCACCATGCCAGGGGGAAAGAGAGAGAGAGAGCTCCTGTGGGTCTCACCCTGGCTGTTAAGTATTCTAGTCAGAAAGGGATATATTTTACTTCTCCTCAGGAAGCAGACCTGGCAGGGTGGCCCCTCTGTCTCCTCCACCCCCAACCCTAAAAGCAATATGGCCAGGAAGTGCAATTCCACCAGGGACCACAAGGTGAAGCCCTGGAGCCAGCTGGAGACTCAAGTCCTTTCCCTCTACCCCTTCCCCGACCCTTGCTCTTCTTGGACTTGGCTGCAGCCATTCTTTCTGGGCTGGTAAACTCCGAGGGTTCAGTCTCTCAGTACCCTTAAGGGCCACACACCTGTTGAGGAAGGTGCTCCTTCATTGCATGCAGGTCAAATAAAAGCCTCCTGTTATTTCTGGAAGCGCAGAGGTCCTGGGCTTTATAGCATTTTGTAAACTGCTCTTTCTTACTGTTTATACTTATTTGTGATTTGATTGTTGTCTTCTCTCCCACCAGAATGTAAATTCCTCAAGGGCACGCCCCATGTTCATTTTTTTACTCACCTTTGTACCCTGAGTGCCTGGCAGAGCAGGCGCAGAGTAGCAGTCACTTGATATCTGCTGAATCAATGAACGTGGCCCGAGGCTGTGGCTCTACCAGCCTGGGCGGCCTTGCCTACTGGTTTGGATACTTTCCAGAGGCTACCTGAGCAGCAGGTGGGAAAGACCTCATCCTAGGGGAGGAAGGAACCAGCTTGGAGCTGGACTTGGAAGCAGAACCCCAGCTTTCCAGGCTGGGCGGGGTGCAGGGCAATTCTGGAAATTGACAGTGAATTCTGCCTGCAGCCCGGCCCTCAGGGACTCTTGTCCAAGTCCTATGGATGGGATGTCTTCCAGTAACCAATGAAGGAGGCCTTCAGCAAAAGCTTTGGGACGTGTTGGTGTATAAGGCCTAACAAACTGAGAAGCAGGAGTGGTATGAAGCCTTCTCCTCATTTCAGCATAGAACCCTTGCTACTTTGGGGCCTCCAGGGTGTCAGGGGACACACCCCTGCATCACACCCCTGGCAGAGATGGCCACATCCAGCAGCCCAGGGTGGCAATGCAGAGAGAACAGCACCCTGGGGCTGCACCAGATACCCAGGGGAAGAGGCTGGTGCCTGCCCCCAGGATTGCCACACCGTGGCTGGCCTGACTTGTTGGTGATTGAGTTGCAGACATAGTTGAAGGGCAATTTGTAGTGGATATGAAGTAATGCAGTGGCCCATAGGGTAAAAGACAATAAAATATGGGTAAATGTCACTACTCTGAATTTACATACTGGTTGGTGTGCCTGGGGAAACTTAGGTTAATAATGAAAAAGAAAAAATAAAATGTAAACACAGACAGGAAGTATATCACCTTGTTGTTAATGACTATTTCCTGGTGGAATTATATGTGATCATTACTCATTGTCTCCGTGCTTTTTAAAAAACGGGCCTGAAAAAAATTAAACAAAAGAAAGGAAACTTCCCTTCCTCCTCAAATATACTAGCAAACAAGAAGCTATTAGAGCACAATTCAAGTTAGTGTAGATTTTGGTTGGTTGTGTGGATGAGGCAGGGCTGGTGTGAAGCAGTGGTACTAAGGAGGAAGCAGGAATCCCAAAATATAAAGGATTGGACTAGTCAATAAAATTCTGAGAGTTGAGAGCAGTGTACCCAGTTCTGTTACATGAGGTAGCTGGGCAGTGGGTGTGGTAGGGTCAGGTACCAGGACACCAAGCAACAGAAGCTAGAATCCAAGTGAGGTCACAGATGAAGCCAGGGGTCACTGGGTCATTTAGGTCACTGGGATGGAAGCTGATAGGTGTCAGGGTGGGCAAGGCAAGGGGAATGAAGGCTCAGAGTGAGCTTATATGAACCCCGATTCTAAGGACTCTGGATCCAAGATCTTATCAACTCTAAAAGCCAGACATGGAAGGTGCCAGTGACTTTGGAGCTTCCCACAGGATAGGAGCCATGCAGGGGTGGTGCTGGGGTGTGAGAAGCTATGTGAAAGAGAACGGAAGATGGGTGTGAGGGAGAATGGGTGATGTAAGGGATTAACTTCTGAGAGCCAAGGTCTGGGTGAAGCTGAGCCGCTCTTGCAGCCTGGGGACTTGAGAAACTGGTCATGGGCAGCTGGGATGAGGTCTGCTAACTCCCTGAGAAACTACTGACCTCTCCTTTGTGTCACACTTTGAAGTGTGACTGAAGAGGTGGTGTGGCCATGTGGTCAGGAGTACGTTCTCAGCTCTGATCAGCAACACCAAGGAGAGGTTCAAATCAGTCCTTAGGTTGATTCCTTGCCTTGGCCACTGCCAATAGTGCTGCAATGAACAGGGGAGTGGGGATGTCTCTTTGAGGTACTGATTTCCATTTCTTTTGGGTATATATTCAGAAGAGGGATTGCTGGATCATATTGTAGTTCTATTTTTAATTTTTTTGAGGAACCTCTATACTGTTTTATGTAAACTCATAATAGCCTAAATATCCATCAGTAGGACAATGGATAAATTATGGAATATCCATACAATGCCAGGCTCATCTGTGTTGCTGGAATGACAAGATTTCATTCTCCCCCCCAACACACAAAGGGATATGAAATGTGTGAGGGTGAAGCTTCAGTCCAGTTCATTTTTATGTCCCAAATCATCATTTTTTTCCCATTTGTAAAATTAAGATTCTTATTATAGTTGTAAATTTTAATTAAGTTTAACATGGCAAATATGTTAACAAATTGTTATTGATATAAGCATTTCAATTTGCTCAGGATTGTCAATTATAAGTGTAATGAAGCAGAATGTCTAGTTAATAAATGGATCCACAGGGCTGGGTGCGGTGGCTCACACCTGTAATCCTAGCACTCTGGGAGGCCAAGGCAGGTGGATTGTTTGAGCTCAGGAATTCGAGACCAGCCTGAGCAAGAGCGAGAGTCCATCTCTACTAAAAATAGAAAGAAATTAATCGGCCAACTAAAAATATATAGAAAAAATTATCCCGGTATGGTGGTGTATGCCTGTAGTCCCAGCTACTCAGGAGGCTGAGGCAAGAGGAACCCTTGAGCCCAGGAGTTTGAGGTTGCTGTGAACTAGGCTAATGCCACAGCACTCAAGCCAGCGCAACAAGAGTGAGACTCTGTCTCCAAAATAAATAAATAAATAAATGGATCCACAGGTAATTCCGTGTCTCCTAAATTAAGCTGTGACAATTAAGCCAATAAACTGTAGCAATGAGAAAACTATTGACAAAGCATGACCAGGGAATGTTCATCTCAATGTAGGCTAGGATCTGTACTTTAAGTATTAATAAAAGGATGCTTGGCTGGTCTGAAGGTAGTGAGTTATCTCACTTGATTGTTCAGTCAGTTATAGATTGAACTCCTTGTTCTAATTCTTTGTCCCCTTCTCACTACTGCACTTGACTAGTCAAAAATAAATAAAATAAAATAAAATAATAAAATTATGCTTAGTTGAAATAGTACAAATGGTAACCAGGTGTGGAGAAAACAAAGTGAACTTGGGCAAGAGTATTTTTTTAGAGCTCACTATAACTAGGATGGGATAAAAAGTAAAAATACACCATAGGCTCATTCATATAGAAAGTTCTCCAAATAGCCTGTACCAAGGCAATAAATCCTGAGCAAGAGGTTATATAAAAGCCATAAATGGCCTGTAATCCTAGCACTCTGGGAGGCTGAGGCGGGCGGATTGCTCGAGGTCAGGAGTTCGAAACCAGCCTGAGCAAGAGCAAGACCCCATCTCTACTATAAATAGAAAGAAATTAATTGGCCAACTAATATATATATAAAATTAGCCAGGCATGGTGGCGCATGCCTGTAGTCCCAGCTACTCGGGAGGCTGAGGCAGCAGGATTGCTTGAGCCCAGGAGTTTGAGGTTGCTGTGAGCTAGACTGACGCCACGGCACTCACTCTAACCTGGTCAACAAGCGAGACTCTGTCTCAAAAAAAAAGCCATAAATGAAATCATCACCATGAAAAATGACAACCAGTTACTCTGAATGCTAATGTAGAAATGACATTGTTAAGAATGAATTTTCTATGTTTTCAGGCTTTGGTAGATAGCTGGATCTCCTAAAACAAACAAGTATTGAAATCAACATTAAAATTACTGTAAAGAAATACAAATAATTTTGACACTTAAGTGGAAGCTTGGTGGTTTTAGAGAAATTCAGGTACTAATCTATACAGGCTACCAGGAAAACTGGATAATACAAAAAGCTGTAAATAAAGGAAATTTCAGTAAAAAAGGCAGATGTGGTATTTAGTAAACCTGATGCCTAAAAGTACAAAATCCCTGAAATAGGAGATAATGGAAATGTTTACCAAAAGCAAAGGATTGATGGATGCTGGTGAAATACAAAATATTCCATAAAGTTTTTTTTTTTTTTGAGACAGAATCTCACTTTGTTGCCCCGGCTAGAATGCTGTGGTGTCAGCCTAGCTCACAGCAACCCCAAACTCCTGGGCTCAAGCAATCCTTCTGCCTCAGTCTCCCTAGTAGCTGGGACTACAGGCATGCACCACCATGCTCGGCTAATTTATATATATGTTTAGTTGGCCAGTTAATTTCTTTCTATTTATAGTAGAGATGGGAGATGGGGTCTAGCTGTGTCAAATTAACTTCTTTCTATTTTTAGTAGAGATGGGGTCTTGCTCTTGCTCAGGCTGCTGTCGAACTCCTGAGCTCAAACGATCCACCTGCCTTGGCCTCCCAGAGTGCTAGGATTACAGGCATGAACTACCGGGCCCGGCCATTCCATAAAGTTTTGATAGGTGATTTTTCTTTTCATTCTTAGGGTGAGGCTATTTAATATTAAGTCATTAAATATGCAATGTCCAATTTCAAATTAAAAGTTTATTATATCTCAAACAAGAAGCGTACAATTAAAGTGTGTACCTAAACTATCAACACAGTTTTGCCATCTTAATGGTAGCTTGTTTATGCCAGCAGTGAAGAAGCCTGGAGAGCCAGTGGCAATGAAATCGTGAGAGGTGTTTTCCACAGCTTGTTGAGAAGTGAATATTCTTCCTTGCAAGAAGTGGTCCAAAGCCTGGAAGAAGTGGTAGCCAGTTGGTGCAAGGTCTGGTGAATAGAAAGTTTCGAAGTCCAGCCTCTGTAGTTTGAGCAGCCTTGTTTTTTGTAATATGTGGTCTTGTAAGAGGATTGGCCTGTCTCTATTGACCACTCTCGACTGCTTAATCACAAGCATCCTCATCATTTCATCCAATTGGTTGCAGTAGGCATACGCTGTAATGGATTGACCAGGTTTCATGAAGCTATAATGGATAAATACCAGAGCTGGACCACCAAACAGACACCGCTAACATTTTCTGATGAAGATTCAGGTTTGGACTGTGTTTTGGCACTTCATCTTTATCCAGCCATTGTGCTGAAAGCTTGTGATTGTCAATAAGAATCCATTTTTCATTACGTGTAATAATCCGGTGTAGAAATTGTTCACCTTTATGTCATGAAAGCAAAGAAAGGCAAGCTTCGAGATGATTTCTCTTCTGACACTCATTTAATTCATGTGGAACCCATCTACCCAGGTTCTTTACCTTGCCCATTTGTTTCAAATGGCCCGATATTGTTGGAATAGCAACATAAAACCGTGCTGCTAATTCACATGTAGGTTGAAATGGATATGCTTCCATTACAGCTTTCAGCTCATCATTATCCACCTTGGTCTCAGGTCACCCACATGGCTCATTTTCAAGATTAAAATCACCAGTACAGAACTTCTCAAACCATCCATGTACTGTGCGTTCATTAGCTACATCCTTCCCAAACACTTTGTTGATATTTCAAGCTCTCTGTACTGCATTGGTTCCAAGACAGAATTCATTTTAAAACATAATAAGCATTTCTGACTTATCCATGGTTTCACAAAAATTGCTCTAAAAAAAATCTTGAAAGATAATCACAATCCCAAATGTGCATTTGAAAGAATGAGGATGTACCTTCACAATTAAAAAAAACAAACAAGAAGTGTCAAAGTGAAATGTCAGAGATATCAACTGTCAAGCTTAATACTTAAGGAAATTGGACATTTCATACTTAATAACCTAATACTATTTTTCCCAAGTACAATCAAGAAGACCGGAGGGCTAACATCTGGGGGTGGGTTTGTTTGATGTAACTGGTACTGAAAAGAGCAGTTCTCTGAAGAAAGAGTGGTCACGTGTTAGTTACATCTCAGAAGGTCTGGTGAAATATTAATATGCACCATAAAGCCCTCCTTTCCTTCATTTTCCATCATCTGCTTTCTCTGGTGCGTCCATCCTGGCTGATGCTCTTCCCGTTTTATTTCAGTTTTATTCTCTTTAATGATTTTACTTTTAGTTCCTGGCATTTCATTTTCTTATATCAAAATGTCATGTGAATAATCTCAGAGTCATTTGCAGAAGTTGGTGAGAAAGGGGGAGAGGGATTTCCTCCCGGCCGGACACTCCTCCCCAGTGCTGGTCCCTGCAGTCACCTCTGGAACGTGGGGATGGCCCTGCCACCAATGCAGAGGCCACGGTCCGGGATCTCCTGGGCTCACGCTCAGCTCCCCTGGCTGGAGAGCTCTCCCTAAAACTTTGTTGAGAGAGATAAAAGATGACTCGGAAAAAACAGAAGGTTATACTATGCTCACGGCTGGAAGAGTGACTATAGCGTTGGTGGCGTAGTGGTGGGCATAGCTGCCTTCCGAATAGCATTTTGAAAAGAATAAATTTCCATCCCACCTCATGCCTTCCTAAAATAGGTTCCAGAAGTTTGAAGTGTCGCATTTAAAAATAGGTATAACTGCAAAAATTAGAAAAAGAAATACTTTTCTTGGGAAAAGGGAGAAATGACAACTTTCTAAACTGAGAAAAGGCGTCATAAGGAAAGATATGTGCTTGACTATAGAAAATGAAACATTTCTATACATAAGAAGAACCCGATGAAAGTTCAAAGGTCAATCAAGAAGTGATGGAATATTTGGAGCAAATATATTAAAGCATTAACATATTTATTACATGAAGAATTCTTACATATTGAAAGATATAATAGAGTTCAAGAGATTATGGGCAAGAGACAAAAAAGGCAATTTCCCCCAAATAAATGTAATTGTAAACAAACACATGAGAAAATATTAATTTGTAGTCATAGAAATGGACATTAGGCTGAATGAGGTGGCTCACTCCTGTAATCCTAGCATTCTGGGAGGCCAAGGCCAGAGGATCACTTGAGCTCAGGAGTTTGAGACCAGCCTGAACAAGAGAGAGACCCCATCTCTACTAAAAATAGAAAAATTAGCTGGACACAGTTGTGTGCACCTGTAGTTCCAGCTACTCAGAAGGCTGAGGCAGGAGGATCACTTGAACCCAGGAGTTTGATGTTGTAGTGAGCTACATTGATGCCACTGCACTCTAAGCCAGGGCACAGAGCAAGACTCTGTCTCAAAAAAAAAAAAAAAAAAAGGAAATTAAAAATTGGTATGCTATTTTCACTCATTAAATTTTCATATTAAAGAATGGGATAATAGTCAATGGTGGTGAAGGTACAGGAAACTTACACTCTCACACAATGTTGATGGTTTGTAAGCTGACACAATCTTTTAGGAAAGTATTTGACACTGTTCATTAGGAGCTCTAAAATTGCAACGTAGGAATTTTTGGTTAATATCTTAATTTTTTTTTTTTTTTATTGAGACAGAGTCTCACTTTGTTGCCTAGGCTAGGTGAGTGCCGTGGCGTTAGCCTAGCTCACAGCAACCTCAAACTCCTGGGCTCAAGCAATCCTTCTGCCTTAGCCTCCCAAGTAGCTGGGACTACAAGCATGCACTACCATGCTCGGCTAATTTTTTCTATATATATTAGTTGGTCAATTAATTTCTTTCTATTTATAGTAGAGACAGGGTCTCGCTCTTGCTCAGGCTGGTTTCGAACTCCTGACCTCAAGCAATCCGCCCGCCTTGGCCTCCCAGAGAGCTAGGATTACAGGCGTGAGCCACTGCACCCGGCCTTAATATCTTAATTGAGATATAATTTACATATAGTGAAATGCATAAATCCTAAGTGTCCAGTTCGATGAGCGTTGATTGATGCATAGACCCGTGCAATTCACACCCTAATCAAGATATAGCACTTTTTCATCTCCTCAGAAAGTCCCCTCATGCACTGTCCAATAATCCTCACATCGTCCTCCACTCCATACCATTTTTCTAATTTCTTTCAACATAGATGGATTGGTGAATTACCTGTTCAAATATTTTGCCCATTTAAAAAATTGGATTGCTTTATTATTATTTTTATTATTGCAGTAGCAGTTGATATAATAAAGAGCCCACAAATAGACGCACAGTCAATTGATTTTTGACCAAGGTACCAAAGCAATTTAATGGGAAAAGGATAAGCTTTTCAACAAATTGATCTGAAACAACTGAATCTCAACCCAGCTCACAATATATACAAACATTAATTTGAGATGAATCTTATACTTAAATGTAAGAGTTAAAACTATAAAACTGGCTCAGTGGCTCATACCCATAATCCTAGCACTTTGGAAGCCTGAGGCAGGAAGATTGCTTGAGGTTAGGAGTTCAAGACCAGACTGAGCAATAGTGAGACTCCATCTCTACAAAAGAATGGAAAAATCAGCCAGGTGTTGTGTGTGCCTCTAGTCCCAGCTCCTTAGGAGCCTGAGGCAGGAGGATTACTTGAGCCTGGGAGTTTGAGGTTGCTGTGAGCTATGATGATGCCACTGTACTCTAGCCAGGTTGACAGAGCAAGATTCTGTCTCAAAAATCAACCAAAACCAAACTATAAAACTTCTAGAAGAAAATGAGAGGATATCATCATGACCTTGGGGTAAGCAAGGATTTTTTTGAAGAAAATATAGAAAACAATATTTCACATAGGAACTCTTGGAGGGGAGCTGGGCCTGACTTGCAATGGGCCAGTTCATGGGACACTGGGTAGGAATTGGGCAGGACTTACCCCAGGTTCTTGTCACATTGGACCCCAGAAGCCTGGGTGGAGGCTTGTGACTATTAATACATGGACTTTGTCACATACCGTTTAACACCCCAGGCAACGACTTACTGGAATATCTGGTCTCACTGAGTACCCCACAACAAAGATAGACATGAGTCACCTTCCAGGGTCTTTCCCCCTTCATTAGTATTCTCCCATCTCAGGAGAATAAAGTGTCATGCAAGGTTTTAGCCACAGCTTCTTTTCCTTTGGTGGATTTGAGGGGAGGCAGTAAGTGTCACACTGGGGTGAGTTGTGCATTCATTCAATAAATGTTTGTTGTGTGTCCCACGCACTGTTCCAGATACTAGAGATTTAGTGGTGAACACGACAACCTTAATGGCCCTCTCACATACTTAGTCATGAAATACTTACTGAGCACTCAGTAGAGTCAGGTGCTATTCCAAGAGGCTGGGGCATGCAGTGAATATGCCCCCAGAAGCTCTCGGACCAGCTGGGGAGACCAGGGGGTTAGTGCTAGAGTTCTTTTGGTAATAAGTTCTTTTGCTTCTTTCCACAGGCAGTCTTCCTTTGCTATTATATTTTGGGGGAGTGTATCCTCTAGGGTCCTTTTGGTTGCAAACAACAGATGTCTGCTTAAGTTATTTTGGCTTACACAAAAAAGGTAATTTATTAGCTCAAATAATTAACCAGGCTAGATAACTTCAAGTACAAAATGATCCAGAAATGCATGGTGTCACCAGAGCCCTAGTCTGTTTGTCTGTAATTCTTGGTGTCTCCCATTTGTGTATATTGAGATGGGCCTCAGGCTAGTGTCATTCTTGAAAGCAGAAATGGCTTCACCATGTCCAAATTTTATATCTTTACAGTATGCTGTACAAAGGGAGAGAGAACTCCTTTGGTAGCTTCGTTTCCAGTAGTTCCCTTGGAATGAGAGAGGGAGTTTTTTTTCCCAGAAGTCCTATCAGATAGCTCCTCAGTTCTCACGGATCATGTGCCCACCCTTGGGCCAATCACTGTGTTCACAGGGATGGGATACACTGACTGGTTTAAGTCAAGCCATGTGGACACCCAACTTAATCACTTGGCTGACAATGGACAGAAAATATGGGCTGCTGTTGGTGGAAGGGAGAAAAAAAAATAGATGCTGGCCACCCGAAGCTACCAATGGTGTGTCAGGGTTCAATAAAAGCAGCTGTTCAAAAGGACTCCAAATAGCCAAATATGGGTCAATTTGAGCCTCAAAATAGATAATGACAATAACAGATTGCAACCAATTGAGTAAATTAGAATCCATGAGTTCATATGGATACAAATAATAAATGAATAAATAAATAAGGGAAACATTAATGATTGTGAAAGTCGGCCAGTTCTCGTGGAATACCTTCATGCAATTTCCCATAATCTAGCCCTGTAATACACTTGTTATATGTTGAATTTGCTTTTTAGTTTTTTTCCTTTTATAAGTCTTTTTCCCACTGTTTTAAATGGTCAGGATTATTTTTTTTATAATTTGTTATGCCATGTATTTCATCTTTGCATCTTTGCATCATTTCCAATACCACCAATTTATATGTGTTATAAATTGTATAACACATTTTAGAGAGTTCTAACTCACTTTATGCATTTTTTTGGCAAATTTGACTCCATAAAAGTACATTATCACAACATTGACTTGCTGTGTAAATATTGTATATGTATGTAAAAACATTGAAACTTCCTCAATAAATGAAGAGATATGCTTTATAGCTATAAATTCCTTCTAAGCACTGCTTTAGCTATATCCCATGCATTTTGTTATGTTGTGATTTCATTTTCATTCATCTCAAGGGATTTTTAAATTTCTATTTAGGTTTTTTCTGTGATCTAGTGGTGATTTAGGAAAACATTGTTTAATTTCCACATATTTGTGAGTTCCCCAAATTTGTTTCTATTACTGATTTCTAACTTTATTCCATTGTGATCAGAGAATATACTTTGTATTATTTCTATCCTTTAAAATGTATTGCAGTTTGGTTTTTTGCTCTAGCAATATGGTTTATCTTGGAGGTTTCCCCACTGCTATCTGGCCTCTACTGTTTTTGGTGAAAAGTCAGCTGTTAATAATATTGGGAGTTCCCTTCTAAGTGATGAGTTGTTTTTCTTTTGCTGGTTTCAAGAATTTCTCCTTGTCTTTGGCTTTCAACATTTTCACTGTGATGTGTCTATTTGTGGGATCTCTTTGCATTTATTCTATTTGCAGTTTATGGAGTTTTTGAGTATGTAGATTGTTTTTTCAATAAATTTGGGAAGTTTTCAGTCATTATTTCTTCAAATTTTGTTTTTGCCCCATCTTCTGTCTTCTCTTTTTCTGTACTTCTGTTACATATATGTTAGCTTATGGTGTCCTGCAGTTCTCTGAGGCTGTGTTCATTTTTCTTCGTTCTGTTTTCTCTGTTCTTTGGAATTGCATAATCTCTATTGATCAATCTTCAAGTTTGCTAATTCTTTCTTCCACTTGTTCGAATCTACTGTTGAGCTCCTCTAGTGAATTTTTCATTTCAATTGTACTATTCAACTCCAGACTTTCCATTTGGTTCTTTTTTTAAAAAAATAATTCTATCTCTGTATTCATATTTCTGTTTAATGAGACATTATCATTATACTTTTCCTTATTTCTTCAACCTTGATTTTTTGAACATATTTATAATGGCTACTTTGAAGTCTTTGTTAGATCTGATATCTGGTTGCTTTCACAGGCAATTTCTGTTTTCTCTTTGTTTTTTTCCTGTGTATGGTGATTCTTTCCTAATTTGTTCCCTATCTCATAAGTTTTGTTGGAAACTGGGCATTTTAGATAATATACTGTAGCAAATCTGGCTACTGGTCATCCCTACCCCATCCTCCATGCTTGTTGTTGTTATTTGCTTGTTTATTTGTCTAGTGACTGGCTGGGTTATTTTAGTGAAGTCCCTCCACTCCCCACAGTGTGACGCTTCTGTTGTTGCACCTTAAAGGGTGTTGCCCTGAGTGCATTCACAGTCACCCTGAAATGACTGTGGTTTTGGCAAGGCTCTCTTTAACTGGCTCTTTCTCTGACCACACCCAGCTGTTAAACTCCGCTAATTCTTGGCTGATTGCTCTGTTGTTTTCAACAATGCCCCAGGGCATAAATTGTTTTATAGTGGAATCCAATCAAATCTGGGCTCCTTTCTAGGGATAGTACCTGAAGTCAGTGTTTGAGATTCGTTCTCACTGAGCAGGCCTCTTTTACAGCTCTCTTTCCCTGTTTCTCTCTAGCAAACTAGCCAGCCTGCAGTTTAGCCTCTATTTTTAATGCAGCTATCAATCTCTCAATGTCTTTTACCGCAACTTTCACTGTTTTTGAGAGCACCCTTAAGCTTGAACTCTCTACACTGTTACAAAGAAGTTAGTTCATTTATGGGGAGATTTGGGGTTCCCTGTCTATAGCCTGCTTCTCCCTTGTGGGGGAAATCTCTGAGGCAAGGCTCTAGTGCTAGCAGTGGGGACAATGGTGCTTTTCTCTCTGAGTGACACCCCCCACTCTAGGAGCTGAGTGTTCAGTGGATGGGAGACAGCAGCTCCTGGTCTCTTCTCTTGCCTGTCCTGTGGGAATTTCCCACTTCATGAGCTGGGGCAAGGGGCAACCGTGGCCCCAGCATTCTCAGGGATGCCATGCTCAATGTAGAGTCTCAGTTCGAACAGTGGGGGCTAGAGGAAAAAGGCAGCCCCCACTTCTTGGCTTTACTCACCCAGAACTTAGCCTCAGCAACAGGTAACTGGGTACAAGATGAGGAACTCTGTCCCTCCCAGGAAGATAGCCCTCTGACTGGGAGCTGACAGGGTGAGAGAGTCCTGTGTTCTTGGTTGTAAGTCTGGAGTGGAATTTCCACCTTGCTGAGCTGGGAGAGGAAAGAAGAAGGCAGTCTTAGTTCAAATACCATAGACTCTTGCGATTATGAGTTTTAGTAGATTTTCTGGAATAAATATCTCTTCATTTGCTCTATGTACTTGGGTAAACTTCCAGAGAATTTCAATGTTGTTTTTAAAATAATTGTCAACATTTTCTCAAGTCCATAGAGCTCCTCACACTGTTATGCCAGTAGTAGAACTTTGGATGTTCTCTTTTGACAAGCATCATTACAGGTAAATGAGAGAAGGCAGATCACTCAGTTTCTTTTTCTTTTTTTTTGAGACAGAGTCTCACTTTGTTGCCCAGGCTAGAGTGAGTGCCGTGGCATCAGCCTCGCTCACAACAACCTCAATCTCCTGGGCTCAAGCAATCCTACTGCCTCAGCCTCCTGAGTAGCTGGGACTATAGGCATGTGCCACCATGCCGGGCTAACTTTTTGTATATATATTTTTAGTTGGTCAATTTCTTTCTATTTTTTTAGTAGAGATGGGGTCTCGCTCAGGCTGGTTTCAAACTCCTGACCTTGAGCAATCCTCCCGCCTTGGCCTCCCAGAGTGCTAGGATTACGGGCCTGAGCCACCACGGCTGGCCGGATCATGTAGTTTCAGTTGGCTGCTTAATGTTTCATTACTTGTTCAGTGGCCTGATGCCATGGCAGGGTCAGGAAGACAGTGATGTGGGGGTAACTGTGTTTCTAGTGTTAAATGCCTCAGACATACTGACTCTGATGTTGGTTTTATAACGTGGAAGCTGAGGCATAGAGAAATTAAGTAGCATGTTCAGGGTCCCCCAGCCTTAGCAGACTTGAGACTTGAACACAGGCAGTCTGAGCTGTGTGCCACCACACAAGGCTGTCTTGCACCAATGAATGGAGGTTTGGGATCCCTTGGAACTGGGGTAAATAACCTGGGCACGTATCCTTGAGGAACGGAGGGACCAGAATGTTCTGCAGAGGACTGGAAATGGTTAGGGGTAGGAAAACAAAGTAATTGACCGCATTGATCATTTCCTCTATCCTGTGATGCAATGGGCTCGCCCCAGCAACGTTCCCAGCACAGATCTGAGGAGTGATGCAATAGACACAGGCAATCACCAGGCTTTCCTTGTGAGTTGAGTAACCACTTGAAATTCCACTTCTCTCTCTCTTTTCATAACAGGTGGCCTAACCTTGCCAAGCAAACTCAGGTTTTCCATGTTCTGATCAGAAGTTGCCAACTGGTTGTTGATTAGGGATAGCAAATTATATAAACTCATTTTCTTTTTGGTAAGGACATTAAGAAGTTCATTTCCCAGGAAGGAGATTCATATTTGTCCTTTAAGCTTCACATTGGACTTCCCAAAGCAGGGGAAATGAAGAATTCTTTCTTCCTCCGGATGAGCTGGTATATCAGCCAGGTTCATTGATGGCAAGACACAGAAACTGACTTAGGCTAAACTGAGTAAAAGAAAGTGATTGGGCAGCCATGGCTGCAACAGGGTGGAAGGGAAGGCCTAGAACTGAACTGAAACAGACAGGCGCCAGGCAGCTCAGACAAGCGTGGAAGCAGGGACAGCTCCTTATCTTGCCCAGGTGCCATCACTGGGATGAATGGACTTCCACCACTCCTTCTGTCTTTGTGTTTCTGCTTCAAACTCAAATTCCCAGGAAAACAAGTCCAACTACACTTAGATCGCATGCCTGCCTTTAGTTGTTGTAATATGGTGAGAGGAAAGTCAGGCAGCAGGAGACTTGGAAGACCCTTTTGATTTAGGAATGGGAGGACAGACCCTTGGTTTACTCTCCACCAAGACTGTACACAGTAGGTACAGACTGTACACAGTAGGTACCAGATAATTCCCCAAAGGAAATTAGGGCGATTATAGGCAGGAGGAATAGATGCCACATAGCCAAACAGTGCCAAATATGCAACACAGCTTGTAATGGCAGATAGGTGCTGTCACTGTGGTATTTCCAAGTAGGAAACCATTTCTCTGACAGAAATCAGGAATTGCAGATTTATTTGCAGAAAAATAGTGACCTAAGTAGGATGTGCTTTCCCATTTCTCACAGACTTCCCATGTGCCGCCTGCGGGTGGCTCTCGCCCTCTCCTGCCACTCACAGGAGCAGGACTGGTAGTGGTAGGACACCAAAAAGAGAGGTGACTCTGCAGCAGCCTTGATTTCCTGAGCCCGAGCATCTTATTCTATAATTAGATGGCCATAAGATCCCACTGTGGGGCTCCCTCGTCCTCCTCCAGCCGCTTTTAGCCACGTCGTGTGAGTCTCTGTTTCTTTCTTCAGACCAAGACTGGGCTTCCTCCAGCCCCAGTCAGTGAGGGTGCACGTGGGTCTGCGTGTCTTTGCAAGTTGTGCCCACTTTGCAAGAGTGCGGAGGGCAGAGCCTGAGAACCTGCCCCAGCTCCTCGCCTTGCTCGGGACCTCCAATAAGTCCTGTCCAGCTTGTTCTCCATCCCCACCCCAGAGATGATGCTCCAGAACCTGGGGGGCCTGGGCCTCCCATACCGTGAGCAGGTGCCCTGTGGCCTGGCCCAAATTTGGGCAGATCAGCTTGAATTCACTGTAGGTACTTCACAAGTGTCCTTAGATGTGGGGCATTTTTTTTCTTTTCTTTTTTAACAGCTGTGGATTATTGCTCACATTTTGTATGAGGATATTGACTCTGAAGTTGCTTCTTTCTTCAGCACATTTTCGTTGTCTCCTGCTGTGATGACTTTATTACCGGGACTCAAGAAGCTGACTTAAAAAAAAAAAAGGAAAAAATAAGCTGACTCAAAGGCAGTGGTACAAGTGCTGACATCTGCTGGAGGAAAATTATCTGTTTCTACAACTACGTGCAATCATGCGTCACTTAACGCATCCTGAGAAGTGCGTCATTAGGTGATTTCACTGTTGTGTGACCATCAAATACGGGAACCTAAATGGTATAGCCTACTGCACACCTAGGCTATATGGCACAGCCTGTTAGGTTACCTATCTGTATAGCAGGTTACTGTGCTGAATACTGTAACACAATGGTAAGTATTTGAGTATCAAAACATATCTAAACATAGACAAGGTACAGGAAAATATGGTGTTATAATTTTGTGTCATATGTCATATGTGTGGTCATATATGTCATATGTGTGGTCATATATGTCATGTGTGTGGTCTGTTTTTGACTGAAGCATCATTATATGGCACATAACTATATATAAAAAGAGAAAATGTATGACAAGCCTCAAAGCTTCCAATCTCTTTCTTATTTCCCTCATATCAACTGATATTATTATGGATCAACTTTTTATTCATACATTTAGGTACCAATAGAAAATTTTGCTTTGTCTCATAAAAGTATGTAGCCTTTATCTAGAGCTTTCTACATGCTCAGAAGCACTTTGCATGCATCATCTCTTTTATTCTCACTACCATCCTATGAAGTAGACATTGTTATTATCCCTATTTTGCAGACAAGAAAGGTTAGATCCAGAAATACTAAACAACTGCCCGTGTCCAGAGTTCACCCACTTAGCCGTTAGTCTTGCCTTATGTTCAACCTTAACAGTGTATCATTTTAGCATTTCATCACTTGGATAAAATCACACAAACATTAAAAAAATACCAGAAATCCTGAAACTATCTCAAGTGTATTCATGATTAAGCAAATAAGTAAATATATACTACATAGTGAGAGCCTGGTTTTTCACTGTTGCAAAGATGTAGCAAATGCAGGACGAGGGAAAGGCTACACAGTGTACCTTGTGGCGTTGGGTTGGAATCAGAGGAAAGGTGTGAATGAATAGCTTGTAAACATAGGTGGGTAGATATAGAAATTGATATTGATATGTGTATATTTCCTAGCTTTGTCCTCTGAGAGGGACTACAAATAATGACACCTTTTGTGGGCCCCCTAGATCTTGGTCTCTAAGTGCCATCCTTTAATAAAAGGAACGAGGGGCTCTTGGAGAAATGTTTGATTCTAGGGCTTGGGCAGAGAAAGTATAAATGAGTTTGGACAATTTTGCAGTGCTAGAAAAATTGCTCAAAAATGACGAGGACATTACTTTACAAAAGACCATAGGAACTACATTGAAGGGGCTCCCAGTGGTGATATTTGAGTTGATTTGAGTAACAAAATAAATAATAATGATAGTAATAGATTATAACTCATAGAATAAAGCAAATATCCGTGACTTCACATTGATATAAATAAATAACTGAATAAATGAAAATGAGGAAGAAGGGAGAGCTCTTCTTTGTAGTAGAATTCCAACTAATAAATGTAGAAGGAATGATGGAAATAGAAAATCACCATTTTGCTAACATCACGGTAATAACTGGCAGGCAAGAACCATCTGTGGAAGCTAAAGTTAGTGGGCGAAAGTGTGATGAGAAGAAAAACACTTACATAGTCTCCAAGTGTCTCCTCACAAGATACTTATTAACAACAAAGGGAAAAACAGTAAGCTTGCAGGTGATCAGTCTGGTGGGCACCACTTATCTGGGCGATCAAAGTGAATATTGCCAGGAACAAGATGCGTTGGCAGCATGTGCCTCCTGCTGTGTGATGTGCTGAGAAGGACACAGTGTCCCTTCTGTGGTGTTCTCGCCAAAAATATGTAACCACAATCCAATCATGAAAAAACACCGGACACAGCCCAAATGAGGAACATTCTACAAAATAATTAACCACTATTCTTCAAAAATGTCACGGTCAGGAAGGACAAAGACTGAGGGAAATGTCCCAGCTTGGATGAGACTGAGGAGCTAGACAGCTCAATGCAATGTGGGATCCTGGGACAGAAAAAGAACATGCGTGGGACAGTTGACAATGTTTGAATAAGGTCTGGAGATAAGTTCACAGTATTGTATCAGTGTTTATGTCCTGGCTTTGCTAATCACGATAATTATGCTGTGGTTTTATAAGATGTTAATATGTGGGAGAGCTGGGTAAAGGGTATTTTAGAATTCTTTGTACTACTTTTGCAATGTTTTCAAAGTCTAAAATTATTTCAAAATGAAAAATTAAAAACTAAAACAAGCTGACAATAAAATATGTGTAAGTAAAAGTCTTTTTAAAAAGACATTACAAAGTCTGTCAGGCGTTTGATTACCAAAAGCTTGGAACCTCCTGGGCCCAAACTCAAACTCTCTTGTCTTTGGTCTCTTTACCAAGTGAAAACTTCTGTGCGACTTCTACCTTTATTACAACATATAAGTGGAAAGAAGGGAAGTATTTGGGCAAGCGTTGAGCAATATACATGGTAAATTCTCATTAGATGTTTTAGCTGAATTGTAGAACACACAATAGACTGACCAAACCCTCTGTTCCAGTTCTGGAATGTTCTGATGATCACCCTCTTCTGGCATATGTTCTTACATTTCACAGGCATCCCCCAAAACTTCACCCAGCGTGGTCCTGAGGATCACAGGATTTAGCGTTTCCTGCTTCCACGACTCTGGCCCTTGAGTGAGGTACTTCAGTGGCTGGAGGAAGCAGCTCATGTCTGCTGAGTGCTTGAGGCAATGATAATGGTAATGACAGCTAAGCTATCTCATGCCAGGCAGTGTTCCAAACACTTTAATGCTTAAACCAACCCTGGCAGGAAGGGTCTGTCACTGTTCACACTTTACAGACAGAGAGTGATTGTCTACTCTCAGCTAGTGAGTGGTGGCGCCGGGCCCTGACCCAGGCAGTCTGCCGACAGAGCCCACGTTCTGGTGACTGGGCATGTGCGGGGGTGGCGGGCGGGGTGAGGTGCAGGACGCTGCAGGTGGGGTTAGTTGGGGATTAGCCCCAAACCCTTTTCGAGTTTGATATGAATCCTTCTCACTGAGTCTCAGAACAGAACAAGGTCGGTGACGGCAAAGCGCTGTCAGGGCGTCTGGGAGGCCATTCGGGACCCCGTTCTAGGTTTCCAGGGCTGTGGATGTCACGGGAAGGGGCTAGTGCCTGGGTGTGTTCTTCCCTCCTCCCCTCCCCCCCCACTTCTTTTCTTATCAGCCATTTATCTGGCCATTTAGCACTTTCTCCTGCAAGTGCCATGGTTTGGGGCACTTGGAGGTTCTGATTCCTGCGGGTTCCTGATAGTCTCCCTTCCGGGCAAACCCTACCCTGGTTCTCGGGGTGCCTGAAACGCCTCCTGCTGCTGAGCTGGGCCCCGGTACTGGTCAGCCCTGAGGTGGGACAAGCACCCCTTCTGGGCAAGGATAGAATGGAAACTTAAACAGGAACAAACTTAAACAACGACAGACTGCCCGGGATTTTCCTCCTGCTCCCTCATGTCCTCTGAGAAGTGTCTGTCACCAAAGCAATGGATAGGACCAGGCGTCCTGACTTTGCTGTGTCTTTGAGCAAGGCCTGGCCCTCTCTGGTCCTCGGTGAACTCAGCTGTGAACTCGGGGGTAGGAGTTGATGGTTTCTAGGGTCTCTGCTTCCAGTGCCGTCATTTTGTGGCACCAAGAGCTGGTGACAAGAGCAAAAGGAAGCCAGGCCCATTCCTGGAGGACTCGAAGGTGTTTGCTCTTTCTTCCCTGGAAGAGCTTGGCCGTATCTGCACACAATTGGGGCTGAGGTGACTCAGAAAGGAACACACCATGTGTTAAAATAAGAGTTGGCGTTTCTGAGAAGGGAAGTCCAGGAGCCAGCCAGGATGGGATTAGCTGTTGATAAGGGGCTGGGCATTGTTCTAGCTCTCCCCTGAGGCCCACGCCACATCCTAGAAGAGAAGCCAGGTCCCTGGGCCCCAATTGGGCCCTGATGGTTGGGGCAGAGCAGAGGGAGCCGCCCTGGGAGGCTGTCTGGAGCCATGGCTGGGAGGAGGCAGGGAGGCAAAGTGGTTAGGGGTTGGGGCTGCTAGCTGGGTGCCCTGGCTTGTCACCCAACTTCACTGCTCACTCCAGGGCCACAGCAGGGTCAAGTGGGGACAGTATGCAAGGATGCTGAAAGCCAAACAGGCAATCTGACACTGCTGTACAAGCCCAGCAATCCTGACCAGGCCCCCCCCAACCCGCCCCCAGCCCACAAAGGTCAAGGCCAGAGCCAGGGAATGCAGGCCAGGGTGCCGGGGGAACTCTCCAGTTTAGACTCTTCAATCTGAAAAACAAAGGCTGACAGGAATGTGAGGAAACCACTGTTTACTCTGTTTTCAAAAGCGTTCCACTTAACTGTGTCCTAAGATGTTTCTGGGCGGGGAGGCGTGCTGAAGAGGCTCTGCTCAGCTATGGGAACTGGAACCGGAGAAGCGGGCAAGGACTCTGGTGGGGAGGACCTCAGGCCAGGGAGGAGGCCATCACTCCTCGAATTCTTTGGGGAAGCAGCCGCACAGGGGATGTGGGTGCCAGCCCTCTTCAAAGTTGAAAAAGAGCAGGAAAAGTAGGGGCTTGGGATGTCCTTGGAGCAGGAAGGGCCCAGATGTAAGTTCCAAGATATTGTGTATGAGGAGCAGTGGACATTGGAGACTCTCCCAGGGGTTGACTGGTGGCAAGCAACAGAGATCTGTGAATGCTGGCTTAAGTAGAGAGGGGTTGAGGACAAGGATCTCATGGATCCCGAGGGCAGGATTTAGAGCCCAGCCTCCAAGAGGACAAGAATGAGAACAGTCTTTGGGAACAACGTTGGGCTCTGGGTCACTGTCTCAGCCTTCCTCACTGGCCTGCCTGGTTGCCTGTCCCTGTGGTCTGTCTGCAAACCTTGTTTCTCAGTTTAAGCATGGCTGCTCATAGCCACAAAATATCTTTCCCCATATGGCAACCCCAGGCCCTGAGATGTGCAATCTAGTTTTATAGCACATGCAGCCAGCTAACCAGAAACCCTGTGTCCCTGCCCCAGATTCCAGGGAGAGAGTGTGGGCCCCACCCCTTGTCTGCTGAGCTCAGCCAGGTGAGGCAGGTCCCCAAGAACAACCTGGAGTCCTCCTCTTCCTCAGCGGCTGTGGGCGGTGGGGGGTGGGCAGTCCTAACATCCCAAAGAGGTATACTACAGGAACAAAGGAGATGTGGGAGCCAGGAGATTGGGCAGAACTGGAAGTGGAGGACAGGGCCAAGGAAACCTCCTGAAGATGGGGCTTGAAGGAGTAGAGTCCCGAGGTGAGCTGGGAGGAAAGGTGAATTCGATTTGGGACAAAACATGTATCTGCACCTATGAGCTGCACAATTTATTCAAAACAGTGAAGAGTGGTTTGGACTTCTATACATTTAGATTTCCTATGAAAAGAATCTACAGTCTGATTGCCATGGATATAACAAAAAAGTCTGATATCTTTAGGAGGCCATTTTGCTCAAGATAACCTTGAGGAGAGAATTAGAGAGGCTTAGGAGTGATACATTTTTCCTGGCCAGGAAAGAAATTTCATGCCCAGAAAGAAGCCACAAGGAAAGGACAGAAGTGTGTATGTGTGTAAACACGCACCCCAACCCATCCCATTGAGATCAGGATCTCTGGGGCAGGACATAAAATCCCCAGGTCATTCCCAGGTGCACTCAGGATTTCAAATCACTGGCCTGGGGACAAGAGAAGGGTCACCCCCTTTTTCTCCATGGCAGGTGTTCAGATATTTGGAGACGGCCAATGGAAATCGACGTGGCAGAGCTTGCTCAATTTCCTGGGCCTTGGGTTCTGGGAACTGGAATGTAAGAGCCCCTTGGCGCAGAGGAGGGGTGTAGCTACCTCTGTTCCTGTTGGGGAAGCCACCCCTCCTTTTAGGCAGGCAGCTCTGTTCTACCTCCAATGCGTGTTCAGGTAGTGAAGATGAAGGTGTCCACTGAAGAGCCACGACCATCCTGGTTTTCTGGAACTTTCCCAGTTTTTGCACTAAATGTCCTGCATCCCAGGAAAGCTCTCAGTCCTGAGCAAACTGGAGTATTGGCCACATTGCATGGTAGCTTACAGAGGTGGTGCACCTGTGGGGACAGGCATCCAGGCAAGGATCAGAAGAGCCCAGCTGGCTGCTCCCAGCACTGACCCAAGCCCCACACCCAGGGCCCTCCCGTGGCGCCTCTTACCGGGGACCTCCAAGCCCTACATGGTTCCCAGCGCTGGGCTCTGCCCTGTCTTGGGGAATGTTGACTTTTCTCACACCCACACATGCACATGCACAAGCAAAAAGAAAAAAAAATGCAGGCATTGTTCAAACTTATAGCAGGTTATATTCTAGGAAAAGGTGGTGTAAGTCAAAAAGATAAAAATTGGATCGATTTTCCCACAGAAACAATACCCTGATGAGAAATCCTGAGCAAGGGAAAGCATTCTATAAAAAGTTCTGTCCTGGCCATGAAAAATTTCTCTAAACCTCTCTAAATGTCTCTTTTAGTAATGCTGAGGAAAATGACCTCCTGGAGAAATCAGATCCTAAATGTAATTAATGGTAAATTAAATACCTCTACTCTTGGCAATGTAAGATCTCTCTCAAAGTGCGTAGACATCAAAGGAAAAGAGCAAATCAATACTTAAGTGACATGCGGTGTTATTTTATTTGCGGAAAAGATTCCCTATGTGAGGGGCTACTCACAGTGGTGGTTCTCAGCCTTGGCTGTGCATTGGAACCCCAGGGAGCTATAAAACCTGCTGGTGTCTAGTCCCATCCCTAGAGAAGCCAGTGGACTCAGGTATGGCTTGGGACAGGGAGTTTTCAATGCTCCACGTGTGATCCAATATGCTGCCGGGCGGAGCACTCCGGGGGACGGGGCGGGGGAGAGGAAAGTTCTGTAAGCCTTGGAGGAGCACCTAGGGGAGCCGATGGGCATTGCCACACCTGGGCTGAGGTTTGCTGGGGGCGGGGGGAGGGGAAGCTGCCTGAGGTCTGGGGGTCAAGGTCTTAAGTGCAGGAGCATCGAGACATGTGCTATTGGAAAATGAGCCCTTAGTGGTCATCAAAATCAATCCTCTCAGTTTGCAGATGGGAAACAGATCTAGAGGGGTGAGAAGGGATATGCCAAAGTCCCTCGCTATTTAGGAGAAAAATTAAAACATGAGTATTTTGATTCCTCATCTGTAAAGTAAGTCCTTACTTGACATCATCGATAGGGTCTTGGAAACTGCGACTTTAAAG